ATGTAGCAACATGTGAAGTTTGATTAAACCAGCTTGAATAGTATGTTAAAAACTAACAAAACACTGATTTAAGAAAAGTGAGGTCAAGGTCAAAGGAAAAGTAAAGGTCTGACATGTTGATGCAATTGAAAGGTCCCATTATTTTGTATCAGTACATGAAGTTTGAAAAAAAATATCTTGGATTTTTTTTTAAATGAGATGAACACTAGTTTGAGAAAAGTGTGGTCAAGGTCAAAGAAGAGGTTAAGGTCAAATAAGTTGATGCAGTTTCATAGCTCTCATTAGTATGTATCAACATGTAAGTTTTATAACACCATCTTGAGAGGTTTCTTTAAAACTGAGCTAAACACTCATATAAGAAAAGTGAGGTCAATGTCAAAGGAAATGTAAAGATAAATGTTGATGCAGTTGTACAGCTCTCATCAATATCTATCAGCATACGAAGTTTGATGAAAATCTTGGATAGTTACTTTAAAACTGAGCTTTGGACTGAGCTAAACCCGAAATAAGAGTCAGATCAAAAAGTAAAATATGAGGTGCACAGTAGCATTATGTAATGAATCTGTGTAAGTATAATTAAAGAACTGCGAACGTTAGTATTGTTCGCCTACCTCCAAGTCAGTTTTCAAAAGTTTGGATATTTGAATTAATCACACCAAAACCTTTTCTTTGTTTCACGAGGTGGAGGGGGGGGGGGATATGTTTACAGATATAGAAAAAAACAACAACAATCCTTATACTCTCAGCAATTTCAAATAATTTACAACTGAAACATTTTATTCTTACTAATATATATGCTTCCTTTTGTATACATGTAAACATTAGATTTCAGATATATATCTTCCGACTTAGATGTCCCCATCCCGATGTTTATTCCTAAAGTATTATAGAGTAGGGCTAAAAACTAGAGGACCATATCTCGGAAACTAGAGATGGTACCATCAACATTTTTTCACAGAAGTGGTATCTGGCCCCTAGTACCCCACCCCCAAAATTTCAGACCCCAGGGTAGGGGTCTTCGATGTCTCCGAGCCCAATGTTTATTCGTATAGTATTAAATAGTAGGGCTAAAAACTAAAAGACCATATCTCAAAAACTAGAGATGGTACCATCACCATTTTTTCACAGAAGTGGTATCTGGCCCCTAGTACCCCACCCTACAAAATTTCAGACCCCGTGGTAGGGGACTTCGATGTCCCCAAGCCCGATGTGTATTCGTATAGTATTATAAAGTAGGACTAAAAACTAGAAGACCATATCTCGGAAACTAGAGATTGTACCATCAACATTTTTTCATAGAAGTGGTATATGACCCCTCGTATCCCGACCCCAAAGTTTCAGACCCCAGGGTAGGGGACTTCGATGTCCCCGAGCCCGATGTTTATTCGTATAGTATTATAGAGTAGGGCTAAAAACTAGAGGACCATATCTCAGAAACTAGACATGGTACCATCATCATTTTTTCAAAGAAGTGGTACATGTATGTGGCCCCTAGTACCCAACCCCCAAAATTTCAGACCCCAGGGTATGGGACTTCGATGTCCCCGAGCCCGATGTGTATTCGTATAGTATTATAATATAGGGTTTAAAACTAGAGGACCATATCTCGGAAACTAGAGATGGTACCATCACAATTTTTTCAAAGAAGTGGTATCTGGCCCCTAGTACCCAACCCCCAAAATAACATACCCCAGGGTAGGGGACCTCAATGTTCCCGAGCCCGATGTTTAATCGTATTGCATTTTAATATATGGCTTAAAAACTAGAGGACCATATCTCGGAAACTAGAGATGGTACCATCACTATTTTTCACAGAAGTGGTATCTGGCCCCTAGTACCCCACCCCAAAATTTCAGACAACACAGCCTATGTTTAAATTTTGAATTGCGAACTGCGTTCTAGAATGCAATTCGCTTTTGAATTGCGAATAGTGAACTGCAAACTGCGTTCTAAAATCTGACTTGCATTGGGCGTTATTATTTTTTTCATGCAAACAACATTTATTTTGTCACTTTCATTTTATGCACTTATGTATTAAAATTTTGAATTAGATAAATTTTGGTTCAGTTAGGTTCTCGAGGGAAATCAATTCAGAATCTAATCTTTTATTCTATAATGTACATGTATCGTGCATCTATTCATTAAATATTTTAGGTGTTTATTTTTGTGAAACGTTAATATGTTACAGTATCCCCAGGAAAAGCGGACATAAATATTACAATTTCACACGGTCTTTCAAACTAAATAAAAATAATAACCTATGGACGTGCTTGAAAAATCTGACCAGCTATGTTCAGCCATCGAAATCATGGACATTTAAGGGGGATGTACGGCCACCTTTAGTGCAGTGAAAACAAAATGTAAACATTTCTTCAAATGGCTAAAGTACATTATATTTTGATCAAATTTTAAACCCTTATTATTAAAGATACAATAAATATGCATGACTGAATGCATGTTGTGCATATATAATCTATACTTTTGCAGAAAAATGCTTTTGATATGCTCCTTAGAACTGCGCAGCTACAGAATTCAGCAGAGCCTTAAAAAATCCAAAAAAAAAGAAAATACGCAAAGTGTGCATTAATGTTCTCTCTACAACCATTTGTTGAGAAAATACAAGGTATCGTTGTCTTCAAAAAGAGTGTAAAGAACACTGAAAGTATATCATTTAATGGCAGCACGTGGTCTATTTTTAGCACAGAATTTTGTTTTCCAGACCTTTTCTTAATATGGAGTGACATAACAATCTTTAAATGTAGAAGATAATAACAGTCTCAAAATATTTCAAATAATATGAACACTTTAAAAAGAGGAATTGTGTTATAGTGTGGCTAGCTGCAATAATGTAGCCCTCTCCCTTTTTTTGGGGGGTGGGGGGGGGGGAGAGAAAACATCAGATTTAAAAGAAATCGGAGAGGGCTACATTATTGCAGCAATAGTGCGGCTTGAAGTAATTTATTAAGGTCTTTCGACTTCCTTCGGAAGACCTTACTGTTTTTCTTATGTTTCCTATTATTATTATTTTTCCCTTTTCATAGTACACGAGATTTCTCGGAAACTACTTAACCGATTTCAATGATTTTTTCAGGAATGATGCATTTTCGTAATATCTCCAGACCTTTCTTTCATATTTTTTAAAATCACTTCCGGTCGCATTTTTTGTACGATTTTCATTTTTAAAATCGTCATTTTGTCCACGCATCTTCTTGTAAACCACTCAAGACTGAATCTCGAAATTTTCAGGGATGGTGAAACATCTCTTTAGGATATGTATTACGTCTTTGAATTTGGCATACGTCACTTCCGGTCGACACAGGAAGTGATGTTTAATTTCAAGAATTATTTGAAAAATTAAACCCTCCTGAATAAAGGCAAACAGAACTTATGTTTACATTCACAATCGTCAACAAAAAGCATCGATTTGAAGTACTTCCGGTTTATACCGGAAGTTGACAAAAAATTTAACTTTCTCTCTTGAATCAAAAGAAATTTAAAAAAAATTGTTTAATTTGAGTTTTTTCTGGTCTTTCGGCTTTGATGTCAGCCGGAAATGAAGCATGAATTGTCAAAATTCGTCAAATAACGTCACTTCCGGTCAAACTGAAAGTAGTCAAAAAAGGATATTTTGACCATTTTTGACATGTTTTTGGGTAATATATGTCATTGGAAGCAAAAAACTTAATTTTTCGTCCGTCGAAATCACTTCCGGTCAAACCGAAAGTAGCCAAAAAAGTTTATTTTGATTGTTTTGATGCAAAATTGAAATTATAAAGTCACTAGAGACTACTAAGCTCATTGCTTTCTTTTGTTGACGTTACTTCCGGCACTTCCAGTCAAAACCGGATGGAAGAACTACTTGTTGCTTTGCAATGAGCTTTGCTCTAGTTTAGTATTATTATCGAACAGTTGTTAAATAGTGTACGTATTGAAATAAACTCTTTGATTCCAGGTAAGGAAAAATGAGCACCATCAAAGTATAAAATAAAGAGTTTGTAAGTTTGCCACAGATAACAAATATCTATCAAAAGTTTAATTATTACCAATGAAACACAAAGAAATTAAACACATAAAATCGATATGAAAAACCTTGGGTTAGTATCTATTAGTACGAGGGGTGATCAAAAGGTTCTCGAACTATCTCTTTATCTACAAAACCACAATTTAGATTAGAAACAAATTTGGTGCACACTCAAGTTCTATAAATAGCATATGCTGAGGCAAGTTTTGCTCACAATGTGAAATTGAAGTCATTATGCAGGTCCTTGTGACGAAAAATGGTTGTCTCAGTGGAACTCATTCAAAAGACGACTAAAATATTTATGGTATATTTTAAAAATGCCTTTGAAGTAACGTATAAAAATTTGTTAATAGTTTATGAAGACAAATGACTTTCTTATAATTCAATCAATGATTGGATAGATCGTTTTAGTGAAGGAAGGCAGATGGTTGAATATGATACTTGTTATGTTGCCCGGTTAAAGCAAGTTTGAATCAAAATGCGAAATGCGCTTTCCCAAAACCGGAAATTATCTATTTCACTTATAATTCATATATAGTCATTCATCATTTATTTAATTTTCATTTCATTTTCAAACCAAGAATTTAATTGGAATTGCGCATTTAACAAATTTCAATGATGTTACATATAATGCATCCATAATACGGTTGATGCAATAGTCGTGCATGTCATTTTTGTTTTCCTGTTGAATGCATTTTTACAATTTTTAAGTTAAATTAACATTGTTCATTCTTATTCAGTTATTTTTTCATAAAATGTTTAAGTTTTGCTAGATTTCAACATAAATAAAGGTTTGTACATTTACGCAGAATCGAGAAGATTTATAAATGATATTACCCAAGCTGAACATTAAACAATTAAAGTATTAGAGACACCGAGGGGGTTTGGGATTCCTCTACAAACACATTTCTACAGAGCAGTATGTTGTCAAAACATGGGTGTGAAAGGTGTAATAATATAATATAATTATCTATGTTACCTATGATAACGAATGAACTCCACCAGTAATTAGACAAAGTTTCAACAGGGTTGCTTAGTAATAATATAGATGAAATGTAGAAATGATAAAGGCGGCCAGGTTGAAGTTTACATGATGTTGCATACGCTGTGACATTTCCAACGTTAACATTGTCTTCTGTACGCCACAATCTGGATTCAGAATTTCTTGCATGTTCGGAATATAATATTATTCGGAAACCAATAATAAGGTCGGCATCAACGGATGGATATCTCCATTTCCAAATGGCTTCGCATTTACTTTTTTCAACTCCAAGAATGTTGGGACTCGCATAGTGTTCTATAAATAAATGTTTAAAAATGGCATGTTTGTATATGTTTGACAAGTTAATTTCTATAAGTATTATTTATAAGTATTTCACTTAAAAAATGTATTGATCCGATTGTAAACTTGCATTTCTATGGAACGCCAACACTGCCCTATAGCATACAACTATGCAATTATTATGTCAATTTATCATTACGTGATGTGAACATATCTTTACGTTATGTCAATTTTTTATGAGATTATGTAAAAATATCTTTACAACATGTCATTGCTGCATTACATGAAGTAAATACATCCTGATTATGTCAGCACTTCATAACTTGAAGTCGAAAATTCATTATGAAGTGATAATATGTTTACATTGTGTTAAAACTTTAATACGTGAAATGAATGTTTCTTTACATCATTTCATTTCTTTAATATGTGAGGTCAAAATTGAATTACGTCAAGTGATTTGTGTTTTATAATTAAACTTATCATAACATGAAGTCAAAAATCCATTCCTTATTGAGAGTGTATATTTCTATTGTATCAAAGCATTATTACATGATATAGGTTTTTCTTTTTTCACGGCGAAAGCATCATGATGTGATGAGATGAACACATCTTACCTTTATATCAGTGCTTTATTACGTGGTGTAAACAGTGTATGACGTTATGTGAACATATCTTTATATTTTATCAACACTTTATCACATTATGTCAAAACTCAATTCCGTGATGTGGATAAATAATTACGTTATGTCAACTCTTTCTTATGTGATCTTAAAATATCTCTATATTGTGTTAACTCTTTATCATGTTGATTCCAAAAGAGCATTACCTGATGTAAAAATACATTTACAATTTCTCAAAGCTGTATATCTGGTATAAAATGGATGTTGACGACCGTGTTTTTATGACTGGTAAGAGGGGGGAGGGGTCCTGATTGATTAGGAAGAATTACAGACACAAATATCAGCCCCCTCTTTTCCCAGACATAACTTTACAATAGAAAAATGTAATGTTCATTGAAAGTACAGCCCCCACCCCCACTTTTGTTGAATTATAGTCCACAGAGGGTAATGTAATATATCTGAAAAAAAAATTAGGACTGATCGGAGTTGGACCCCCTCCCCGAAATAGGAATTTCGGGCTTGGAGTGGACAATTTTTTGTTTTTTTTTTTTGCTTCTCAATTTTTTTTTTTTTTTGCAAATATTCTTTTTCTGGCTGACCCCCCCCCCCCCCCCCATTCTTTCGAAAAAAAGATGATACGTCACTGGAATTAGTAATTTTTTCAACCATTCCAGGGCCAGAATTCTATTTTAAAAATCTACCAATACCTCATCTAAATCAATTGAGTATGTCTTAATAAGCATGCGTGGGCACAAATCAGTAGCGGATTTACGGAAGCGTATTAGTGCCACGCAATATTTTTTTTAAGTTGGTAATTTCAACTTTAAAGTTGGAAATTCCAACTTTCATCTTGGCTTTTTCAACTTTAAAGTTGGTATTTCCAACATTAATCTTGGCTTTTCCAACTTTAAAGTTGGTAATTCCAACTTTAAAGTTGGTAATTCCAACTTTAAAGTTGGAAATTCCAACTTTAAAGTTGGTAATTCCAACTTTAATCTTGGCTTTTCCAACTTTAAAGTTGGTAATTCCAGCTTTAAAGTTGGTTATTTCAGCTTAAATCTTGGCTTTTCCAACTTTAAAGTTGGTTTTTCCAACTATAATATTGGCTTTTCTACCCGCTTTTCCTAGATTTTTCTTTTGTTAACAGTATCACAAACTTAATTAAAATGAAAATAACACACTGAAATAGATTTGTTAGCAATTTATCATTGCAATCTTGGGGTAGGGGTCGAAATGGGGGAGGGGGGTTGGTTATGGGGAGTTATAATATGGCTCTTTAAGAATGGAAAATAAATATAAGCACATTAAAATAAATTGTTGAACTCTTTTTATCTGTGTTTGTTTTATTATTTTTCTTGACCTTCCCTATGACCTTACATAAAACTTCCAACTTTACATAAAAATCCTTATATTCCTTTAAGTTGTCTTGTGTAATTCTATTTAGAAAAACTTCCTATAAATTAAGGACACAGTATTCCGTACATGACAGGATTTCAACTTAACCAATTACAGATAGAAGTCATTTATTCTGTATTGTATAAAAGAAAGAGACAACAATTAAATACTCAATATAAACAAATTTTATTTAATCAAATGAAACTTTTTCTACTAAATTAAATACAAAATGTATCAATTCCATACTGGCACGGATCCTGGATTTTTTCAAGGGGGGCACCTTAGCCAGAAATATGTTGACAAGCAAAAATTTATCAAGTAAATATATAATAAAATCCTTCTTAAAACGTCAAAAGTCAAAGTTGGAAAAGCCAGGATTAAAGTTGGAAAAACCAAGATTAAAGTTGGAAAAGCCAAGATTAAAGTTGGAATTACCAACTTGAAAGTTGGAAAAGCCAAGATTAAAGTTGGAATAACCAACTTTAAAGTCGGAATAACATGTAGCAACATTAAGTTGGGATTACCAACATTTAAGTTGGAATTACCAACTTTAAAGTTGGAAAAACCAAGATTAAAGTTGGAATTACTAACTTTAATGTTGGGATTACCAACTTTACAGTTGGAAAAGCCAAGATTAAAGTCGGAAAAGCCAAGATTTAAGTAGGAATTACCAAGTTTAAAGTTAGGAATTACCAACTTTTAAGTTGAAAAAGCCAAGATTAAAGTTGGAATTTCCAACTTTAAAGTTGGAATTTCCAACTTTAAAGTTGGAATTACCAACTTTAAAGTTGGAAAAGCCAAGATTCAAGTTGGAATTACTAACTTTAAAGTTGGAAAAGCCAAGATTAAAGTTGGAATTTCCAACTTTAAAGTTGGAATTACCAACATTTAAGTTGGCATTACCAACTTTAAAGTTGGAATTACTAACTTAAATAAAAATATTGCTTGGCACTAATACGCTTCCGTACGGATTTGAGAATCTTGAACAAAAAAAAAATTGTCCAAGCCTGAAGGGGGACGGTCTATGGTTGGAGACCAAGGGGGAAAGCGGAGAAGCTCTCAGGCTTTATAGTTTTATAAAATAGTTTTAAACTGAATTCAGCTAAACTCAATGTGAAACTAATACAATATCCTACAAAGTAAAACCAATTAATTTATTAATTTTATGTACTTGTAGATTTTGGTCACTAGAGATGGTATTTCAGGCGGGATTTCCCCCTATCCCCAACCCACCAGTGCACGTGTGTTATAATGATGTTTTACACTTAAAAAAGGAAAGTTCAAGACTGATAAAAAAGTAAAACGTATGACAATGTTCTAAGTAAGCTCAGAAGTTTAGGACTTTAATTTATCCAAAAAAAACAAACAAACAAACAATTCAAAATACGAGTAAAAAGAAAAAAAAATGCTACACGACTCATAATTTTTGATTTATTTAATTATCAGATTAAAGTAAACGCCATTGAATTTCGACATGACTTTAATTCACAGTCGCAGTAATAAGGCTTTGCACGTTTCAAGATTGTCAATCCTTTGTCGCTTAAAATTTTTATTCAAATCGCTGAGATTTCTTCTACGACAATTTTCTCTCCCGCAAATTTAAGAACACAAGAATGTGTAAAAGTCATAAAGTGTTGACATAATGTAAAGGAAGGTTTATAAGATGCAATAGTAGTGAGGGATAATATCATTAAGAATTGACACAATATAATGAAAGGTTGACACAATGCAATAGTAGTGTGGGTTAATGTCATAAAGAGTTGACATAATATAATGGAAGGTTGACATAATGCAATAGTACTGTGGGTAAATGTCATAAAGAATTGACATAATGGAACCGAAGGTTGACACAACACAATAGTAGTGTGAGTAAATGTCGTAAAGAGTTGACATAATGGAACCGAAGGTTGACACATATAATAGTAGTGTGAGTAAATGTCATATAGAGTTGACTATATGTATTTAGGAAAGTTCACACAATGCAATAGTAGTGTGAGTAAATGTGATAAAAAGTTGATATAATGTAATGGAAGGTTGACGGAGTGCAATTGTTGTGTTCTGCTATAAGGCAGTGACGGCGTTCCATACATTTCTGACATTTTATGCTCACGGTAGGTGAATAATTTTATATACTTTTGTATAAAACCTCATCAAAGAAATTCATTACAATGTATTTTGAAATTGAGGCGCATCACGTTGTGCAATTTAATGAAAAACAAGTAAGTGTTAATCAAATGTTTCTTCTAGAATATTCAGGTTATGTTGAAATCGGATCAAAATTTGAAAAAAAAAAAAAAACACGCAATTTCATCGTGTTGTTTACTATCACTAATAGCCTTCTCAAAAGAAATTGAGTGCCAAATAATAAAGAACATCTTTTTTACTTTATTCGTTTGCTGGAATACTTAAACTTTTTTCTTCTAATTGAGTTGAAAGATACTCACGACTATGACAAACGGAGTCTCTGTGATAGTAAGGCCATGAGCACAAACATGATGATTTTTGATTAAGGTAACGACACATGAGATTTTTATTCGGTTCACACTCTCTACTCTCGCTACAATTTCCCAGGAATTTAATGCCTAAAAAAAATAAATGTATCTTTATTCAAAAACAAAAAAAGTGTCAATCCATTTTTTTTAAGAAAACAAACAATGAAAGGCTGGTTTTAAAAATCTGATTTGAAATGATTAAACTAATCTTTGGAAGGTTAATTAAATTCGCGAACAAATTAAATAATTTCCATAAAAAATTCGATTCAATTGTTCATTATTTTTTTTTATAATAGCCATCTCTGATTTTAATGCGTATCTGCCAACGTTCTAACCATGCGCGAATCATGTTATCCATGTGGTCTTGTGACATACTCTTAAGCATTCAAGATCTCTTCACAGACGTAAAATATTTTGCCGAGTCTTACATTTCTTACCATGCATGTTGATTTTTATAATAAGAATAGTCTATTTGTCAGAAATGACTAAATCTTGGAAATACGATTGTTGAATAAGGATATCCTTTCCCAGAAGGAACATGGTGACCATTACAACCCGAGTCCTCTCTCTTAGAAACGTCATTTATCCAATATGGATATAGCTGTAGGGGACGTAAATCTTCTTCTTTTTAATATATTAAAGTTATATATATTTTAGGGATTTTATAATATTATTGTTAGGATATTCAACAAATTTCCTAGCTGTAACTTCGCAATCTTTCTGAACAAATAGCCTAACATATGACACATCTCTTCCCCAGTTAGCTTTCGCCAGTTTACTATACAAACGTCATTTTTAACAATCTCCCTTCCTATTAAGATGATTAAGTATTGTTTTGACGTTACAGTAAACATTTCCCATAAACAGTAGGCTCTGTCTCGTTTTTCAAGCCTTAACAATGCTGCGCAGGTGATAAAGGTATATTGCTGCATAAATAAGGGACGTTGACGATAGAAAAATTGAAGTCATCACGTTTATCATAGAACTTAAGCAAAGTTGTTGTTAGATTACCATTAATGTATTTTTCAAGTAAAATGTTGAAGTATGAAACAAATTTCTCAGACTCTTTGTTATCTTTGTCTCTGTCTCCCGAGGATATATCGTATCGACATAGGAATAATTGAAATAACCATTGTAAATTGACAATACGTCATCGATATATCTAAATGTCGAGTTGAAGGCAACAGCAAGTTTTTACTTCTATTCACGCATAAGAGTTTTCACAAATTCTCTTTCATTTGAATACAAAAATAGGTCTTCTAATAGCGGTGCTCCATTAGTACACATGGGGATTCCAAAAGATTGTTGTCCCTTAACACCAAATAAAAAAACAACAAAACCATAAAAGACATGTACATTGTCAATCTGAAAATCAAACATATTTTTGATGTCAACTTCAGAGTACTTGTGTGTGCAATCAAAATAGGTATGGTTTTACTAAATACTAGTAATTTTGCAAATGACCTCTTACTAGGTACATGTAAGTAAATCTACGAATTCCATATTTATTGGAAAAGCAGCTTTCAATTATATAAAAAAGCCTGGACTTTAATCTATCGTGGGGAATGCTTGTGTATAAAGTTGAAAAGTCGTAATTTTTTTTGCACTCGCTAAAAACTATTCTCTCGTTTGGTATCATACAATACAAGTAAGCTACATCGGACGCAAGGTTTTATTAATTTCAAGCCCATTCAGCTTCTTTCAAACGCAATACTAAGGTTTTGGGAATTCCACGAAACCATACGCGCATGATTTGCATCCCATGTAACATTTTCGCAATGTTACCCGTTGTTAAATGTGCTACTTATGCAAAGGGAAACGTTATTCATTATATTGTATGATCGTGAGGAAAATATCAGATTTATTTAACTAAGAATTATCAAATGCCTCGATGGTATCTAATCTACATCTTTCCCGAAAATTTATGCAAAAATTTATCATACCGAAACAAGCAAAACTTTTGAAATTAAACTTTCAAACTCAACACGGCTATCAAATTCACTTTCAATTTTAATGTAAAGTTATTGATTACACTAACTCTGATTCATGTCACGTGAACAGACTATAGTGACGTCTACAACTCGAAAGTTTTTCGTTCAATGCATATGAACGTTAACTATTGCGGGAAAATGCACTAGGTATCGTAAGAGGATGAATATGATGAAAGCATGCCGACGACAGGAAAATATGAATACTTGTTGCCCTATCACGTGGTAATATTCAACCAATCAGATAATGCGTCGTTTGGAATAATCATATGGATTGTTTATAGCAACTATGTCAAAGATTCCGCACTCCTCAATGACCGTAAGCGCAGAGTAAAAGTCAGAATTAGTAGCCCTTAACCAGCAATCGGTGGCCTTTCCATATGACTGAAAAATGCTCGATAAGGAAGTTAAAAAACAGACTGTAGAAGCCTTATTCGTATAATATTTTGTGATATATGGTCTCTCTTATTTACTGTAATGTATAATATAAGGGAATCTCTGGTCTCCGATCGCTAATTCATCCACAACTCTACGTGACCTCTGGTCTTGTAATTCCTATCAGCATTATGTGACCTCTGATCGCTCTAATGAAATATAAGGTAACCTCTAGTCTACATAACCAGAAAATGAAATACAATATAAGGAGACCTCTTGTTTTCCTACTTTATTATTAAGGTCTTCCGTCTTCAGCGTAAGTCTTTCTTGTTATGTCGCCCCAGACAAAGTCGGGGAGATATATTGCGATTGTACGCATGTTTTTTGTGTCCAGCCCTTTTCTTGAATATGGCTGGGACAATCTTCCTGAAACTTTCCTCAAAGGAAAATCACTGGTTGTTGTTGTGCCATGTGGTCATTTAGTTTCAAAAGGGCTACCATTGCCTTGGAAACTTGGAAAAAGCGACGAATTTTGACGAATTTTGTCCGCGAGTGTTCTCTCTGGTCCCTTGAACATTCGTCATGAAACTTTTATTTCAGTGATTAGTTATTGTAGTTATGTGATTCGCATTTAAAATTTTCAAATAATCAATCATTGCCATGGAAACCAGGGGAAAATTAAAGTTCTTTAATTTCAAATTTCTCAATAAATCGTTTTGAAACTTTGAATGTTAATTCCTTGTAATGTGTTAAAGTGATTTCTATTTTTAAAATTTAAAAAAAATTGTAATGAGTCGCTCATAGTTGCCATAGAAACGAAACAAAAAAAGGTTAAGATGTACACGTGTTCTCCAAGGTCTAGGTCAAAGTTCTTCGTATCCAATAAAAGTTTTTTTTCACAAGGATGACATATCTGAAATAGGAAAGCGCTACCCCTTTCCGTTCAAACGTTATGGCTAAGGATCTATGTTCAAGACGACCCCCCCCCCCTCCTGTATGAAGCGCACATCCAAGTAGAATACACAGATATAACATATACAACTTACAAGTAACGTTTTAAAAGTTTCATTCTTAAAATTCAGTTCCCTTGATATGATTTGATATTTTGCCAACATTCATTCTTCTTCTCTCTTGTCTCTAGATTTTATCATTATTTTATTTCATCTATGAAAAAAATAACGATTGTTAGCAGTATGTATTAGCATTTTGCGTATTCTTGAATTTGTGATACGTCAAAGAAGCAAAGTTGTTCAAATTGTCAAGCTTAATTTATTGTAGTTGTCAAAATACGTCCGGAGTAGTCACTTCCGGCCCAACTGGAAGTAGTTGGAAAACGCGTATTTTTGCCGTTCTTGACAAGTTTTTTGGTAACATATGTCCCTGGGAGATTAAATTAATTTTCTGTCCGGCGTCATCACTTCCAATCAAATCGGAAGTAGCAAAAATGGCTTATTTTTGCATTAATTAACATGGATTTAGAGGATTCAATTTTTGGGCGTTATTTCTCATTTTTGTTAGAAGTGAAAGGTACTTCCGGTCAAACATGACGGAAGACCTACTCGTTGCTTTGAAACGAGCTTTGCTCTAGTTATCCTTTTTGCTTACCGATTTTGTGCACGCGATTTCTCGAAAACAGATCGATGGATTTCCATGAAACTTTCAGTACTTATGTAACATTACTTGAACCTGATACGAATTTTTTCGATTTGATGACGTCACTTCCAGTTCGGAGATATTGTCGATCTTATGATTTTTGAAGGGTCAGGTTGTCCGCAGACTTTCTAAGAAATGGTTCTAGATAGAATCATAAAACTTTCAGGCATGGTAGTCCTAAGTCTATAAATATGCGTAAGGTATTTCATTTTTATCGGAAGTGCCGCACGTCGGCGGTTGCTATGACCCGAAAAATTACATATTGCGAATTTCATAATTTAAACACCTTTTCTACGATATATTTTTACCTGGAAATAATTTGATTAAACTTATAGCACAAAAAAAAAGTATAGAATTCCAAGATCTTTCAAATGATATCTCGAAAAAGGGGCTGGCCCCTAATACAGTAAACCAACTTTTATTCGCGACGACATTATTTCAAGATTAACCAGGGATAAGCAAGTTCACGACGATTAATTTTCGCGATCACACCTATCTGGGTTCTCTTGTTAATAGATACAAAGACTATAATGAGCGGTTCGCAGCGAGAAATATTCGCGATGACAAGGCTCTCGCGAACTTCCCCAAAATTTCTCGCACGTGAATAAAAGTTGGTTTACAGTAATTAAGGGCCTACAGGGGCCGAAAGTTTTTTCTTTATATCTCAAAAAGTATTGAGAATTTGTAATACATCTAAGAAGCAAAGTTGTTCACAATGTCAAGCTTTATCTAATGGGATCGTCAAAATACGTCAGGTGTCGTCACTTCCGGCCAAACCGGAAGTAGTCGGAAAACGCGTATTTTTGCCGTTGTCTCTGGTAGCATAAAAATGTATTTTCCGTCCGTCGTCGTCACTTCCGGCCAAACCAAAAGTAGCCAAAAAAGCTTATTTTGAAGGTTTTGATGCAAAATTGAAATTATAAGTCACTGGAGACAACTTAGCTCATTGCTTTCTTGTGTTGATGTCAATTCCGGAACTTCCGGTCAAAACCGGACGGAGTACCTACTCGTTGCCTTGCAACGAGCTTTGCTCTAGTTATTATTATTATTCAATCCCTTAAATTCCATTCACTTTAGATTTAAACATTATATATAATTATTTATCAAACATGATAAAAAGAAGAAACCCATACTGTATATCCTTTTCGTATAAATGACGTTCTTAAGACAATGAGTTCTTAAGAGAATTTGGGTTGTGATGGTCAATATGCTCGTTCTGGGAAAGAATATCCTTATCCAACAATCCTATTGCCAAGATGTGGTCATTTCTGAAAAATGGTATTTGTTTGTTCTAGCAAAAAAATTCTCGCATGAACTTCTCGAATTTTTTTATCACCCTTCGTATATGTTTATCACTTTTCATTTTGTTTTTGCACAGATTGATTTTACACTGTAGGATTTCGTAGATGTATTCCTCTTAATAAAGTAAAATGAACTTGTAATACGTACTTCCGTATAGAGATACATATGCAGACTCGCTTGCTCCCCATCCTTCAGCATTGAGTGCAAGACATCTGTAGTAAGAACCATTTTCATTGATAAAATCTACATCATTAATGACAAGTCTGGGCTCAACTAAGTCAACAGTACTGCCGTTGTATTTTGCTTCGGTTATATTTATATCGACTGTGATTCCATTACGAATTCTTTCCCACTTCGTTTCATATGGTGCTGGGATATTAGTTAGATTTTTAACTGAAGCTCCGATCTCGAGTTTTGATAGGAAAGGAATATTGAAGTAGGAATTGTTTAATTCAACTGTAGGAGTACCTAAATATCACATTAAACAGAAATAAACATAAATAAACCCACGATAAAAAATAATAATAAAAGCAAACAACAAATGCTTGCGGAAAAAACATTTTTCAAGAAGTCTGAAACATGCCAAAATGCCAAAATGTAATACCTGCGAGTTTTGAAGGGGAAATAAGGTAAACAGTATTATACCAGTATTTCATTAAAAAAAGCATACATTGTTTTTTATTTTAAGGCTTAATCTACTTAATTGTTTTCGGAATTTATTTTATTTTATTGAAATTTTCATTTCAGATGTTAAATGCATTATTAATATTTGCTTTAAGAATGGTTTAGGGGAAAAAATGATGTTGGAAAGTATAGAATGGAATAGATGATTTTATCTGCAAGCAATTGTTTGTGAATCTAGACGAATTTATGAATACATACGCAATGTCTCAATTTGTTCAGTATATCCTGTGCTCTCTTTCACAAAAAAATGCCCACCCCAACTCCTTGCAGTGATAGTTATATTATAAATTTCTCCAGGATCTAGTCTATATGGCCATGTGAAATTATTTGAAACCGTATAATTCATGTCAAAATAGCCAGCACCACTTATTTCTACCATGTAACCATTGACCAAAGTATCATTTTGTGGAACCGCCCATTCGAGATAGAGTCTTTCTGGATGAAAGTCGCTGGCATTTAAGTCGATTGGACCCGGAGGAAGAGGATCTGAAAAACATGATAAATTTTGTTTCAAATGTACAGATTTGATTTTGCACATATTATGCACCTCTATGGGGAATATCCACTGTAAGAATGCAACCTGGAGACTAATAATTGCACTTACCAACAACTATTGGTATCCAAGAGTAAACATTAATAATTTCCGTTGGATTACTGAGCAGAATTGTGGAGGTAATATATAAATTAAACAGGTGTCCAGGAGCAAAATATGATTCAAACGTGTAGTTATTTTCTCTTTCAACAGACACGCTTATGTTCAGTGATCCTTCGTTTTCTACCAGTGCGATAGTGTAATACTTGAGCACGGTGAAGTTCGATTCCTCAAACGGGTCATCCCACCACACGGAGATATAGGATGTGCTTATCTCCGATCCTATTAAGTTAGCCCTCAAGTTGGTTCCTGTGAATGTTTAAAGAATTATTGCTTTAAGCTTATCGCTTATGCATCAACAAAAATAAAAGTAAATTTTCAATAAATTATACTTACTGTTGAAACATATTTCGTTCCTGCGATAAGTGTCACGAGCACACATACATTTTCCGTACTCTTTTGAGCATTCTAAATGGTATCTCTGATCACATTCCTTTGTCATGTTGCATGAATCATTAAATCGGAACGCTTCAAAAGATAAAATTGAAGATTTATGTACAAAAATCAACATAACATTAAAAGTTTGAAATAAAAAATTGGAGATTAATATTCTTGTCCAAATGTTAAGGCATTTGATGTTTTGATGAAAAATTTATGTATGCATCGTCAAAGTGAAAAGACATCATACTAGTGGAAAATAAGAAACAAGTATATAATTAAGTAATTGTATTTACTATTTAATAAAAGTTTACACGGATAATATTGTGTTAAAATACACTATGTTTATAACATTATTGGATATAAAGCTCTGTCTTTCACAGTTTCAAACATTAAAACACGAATTATGTACATTATGATTGAAGGGAATAGTCATGGGGGAATGAAGAAAAGATTTATATGTTAATTTGCGTATATGACAGTCATTTACACAAATAATTTTTTTACACCGTTGTCATCATACATGTAGATACTTGACTTTCTGATTGACAATATCTACAAGTATGTGGTTTTTGGAAACCGAATCTCCCATTAACCTATTGGAATTCCCATACGTACCAATTGTCCCCCGTTATTCGCAGACCTATTTTGTATTCATATGAAGCAGAACTTGTCCAAAATCATATACATGAAAAGAAGAAAATATTATTGTGGCCTTTAACTGATCAGCCTTTAGATATATCAACGACGATGGTTATTTCCATCCTTACATTGTATGTCGATACAATATATCCCGCTGAGCTTGAGATAAAAGAAGCATGTACCACAGAGTCTGACATATCAGTTTCATATTTGGATATTTTACTTGAAAAAAGCGTCGATGGTAACCCAACAACCAATCTCTATTATAAACGTGATGACTATAACTTTTCTATTGTCATCTTCCCTTATTACTCATGGCAGCAATATGCATGTACACGTACCTTCATCATCTGCATACGGAGTTTATATCTGGCGGTTGATTTGATACGCAAGACCATGCTCTACGTACTATGAACAATTTCAAAAACGAGGTAAATTTTTGACATGCAAGTTCATGAAAAAATATTAACAAGAATATATTTTAAAGTCATCATTTCGATGTTTGGTGGATACAATGACGTTTTCAGCAAATACAATTTATCATTAAGTTAAATGCTGATTGACGTTTTTATACTTCATGTAATTGATATTGAATGAATTGAGTACTAAAATCTGTTTAGTACATGTATACCTGTATTAAAGTATTCCTTTTGGATTTTTAAGGTATGCACGCTTTCTATATACCACTAGTTTAAATTGATCTCTCTCTCTCTCTCTCTCTCTCTCTCTCTCTCTCTCTCTCTCTCTCTCTCTGTAGAGTTCTACAGTGCTCTATAAAGCTCACGCTACTATGATCGCCAAAGTTACCCTCCCGATATTGACACAAAACATACTTCCATTGACTTCTAATCTGACAATATTGCCATGACACCATCCATCAGAAATCCGAACTTGAAGTTGATATCTGACTTCGTCATCAAAATTAATTTTATTAATCCTGAGTAGCGGACGTGGCAAATGGCTACTTCCAGCGTATTTATCTTTGTTTATGTCAATGACTTCAGTTCTATTTTGTCCTATTTTCAACCATAGTGCTATGATAGCCCGATGGGAATAAGATTCCACAGTTCCTGAAAATGAAGCCGATTGTCCAAAAAATGTCGATATGAATTCGGGAGTGACAATGATGACTGGACATACTGTAAACAAAACAGAAAATAAAAAAATTAATGCCAACAGACCATACACTGTAATTAATCAAGTTTATCCTATTCTTAGAGCTCAATTTCTACGTGGACTTTTAGTTCATCGCTCAACCAATTACAGATTAAAACAATTTTATCATTGTGACAATAAGGATTAATAGATAAAAGGTGAAAATTTTACGATTTGTTTATTTTGTTCTCCAATATATGAATTTTTTTTCAAAGTTTATCTTGATAGTATCTGCGGTAACCCTGTTGACGCAATAACTCAAACACTTTTTCAACGCATTGTTTTCAAATTTTTCCTAAAAGATGGGTTGACTTAAAGCCTTATTTTGGATATTTTTAAACTACTATTCCAAGTTGTAAATGAAGTGAATCCGGAAATTTTAACAAGCAATAGACAAAGTTACTTAAACATGCTTACATTAGGTGGATACATTGTTTCGCACTGCCTGGAATTATAGACATGTACCCGGAGTGGTTTGTAGCCAGTTCAAAGCTCAAAAAGTAATTGTCGGTTATTGTCACCCTGTTTGAGGCAGGATGTTAACCCCATAGTCGTTAAATTAAAGTTACGTGTAAAAAAAAAAGTACTTTTTCTTAACTACTTTTGAGATAATACAAAGGCTAAATAAAGCAACAAATCTAAAACGTTTTTTTTTATTTATACAAATCAACATCAGAACTTTGATGAAAATTTGTCATAAGTCAAATAATAAAGTTCATTTTCATTGGCGAAATAGATATTTTTGATTAGTAGACAACTGGCACCTAAACTTTACAGGTCACCTAGAGGCCTGAATATTTCGTAAATTGCCATAAGTGCAAGATTATATCACCTTTTTTTGTTGTTTTTTGTTTGTCTATGCAGTTGTTCCAATGCAAATTGTACAGTATGTCATACTAAGTATTTGCTGTGTTGCAAAATATCATGTAGTTTTTTTTTATAATACTTCAATTTTTAATGAAACAGATTATTATATTTTTAATAAAATATAATAAAAGATTATAAATAATAATAGTATAGATATCATGATACAAAACATTTTGCTAGTTTATAATGAACTTTTTACGGATGATAGAAATAGGAATACACCAAAGTAATCTTTTTGTGTGGTTAATATATACTCTTTTTGGATATTTTAATTAAACTTTAAAATACATATTCATTAGTTATTGATATCATACTATCATATCCCAAGACTGTTTTTTTTCTTTACACTTACTTGACCTATCAGCAGTGACTGTTAATTGTAGATCCGTGGTTGTAATAGGAGCGCTTGTTGTTGATATTGAGACGTCACTGTAACCCATCGTTTCGCTTTCAGTTAATAGCTGTGTATACCCAAAACTATAGGAAGAGCCACTGAAAGAAGGATTTTCATTGCTCGTTTGCATTTTAGAGGCACTTGTAAGTGCAAAGAGAGATTGGGTAACGGTCGATCCATTATTAACGATATCCATGAAGGAATCCGGAGATACGACTGTACTCTTCAGCTCTGAAGGAGCTGTAGGTAATGTTGTAAACGGCGTTGTCGAATTGTCATCTGAGGAACCATTTTCATTTTGCAATTCATTATCGACAACAGGTAGCGCAGTTGCGTACGTCAAAATGATGCATAGCAGAACAAGATCAAAGATGTACACCATAGTGGTGTGTTGGATCGTTCTGCAAAGATTCATTGTGCCTAAAACGGTTCTGTATGAGTCAGCATCTAAAATTCAAAAAAAACATATAGAACTTTATCATAATTTCTAAATTGTCGGTGTATTTTATTAATGAAATATGAATTTATTTTACAAGAAATGTTTGCAATTTCTCTTATATATAGTAGTGTTTGAATGATAGCCATGGGCTTGGTTTGGGTGAAGAGATAAAGATGGCGATCCTCCTGGCCAGAGGCAGAAGACAAAATTCTGCTGGAAACAGATACCTGGGAAATATTTGTACTAATAGTGCGCCGTGCCGTGCCATGACTTTGACGCAAGGTCATCTTGAACAAAATTCAACTTCGAAGGCATGCAGAAGAAAAATAGCTTTGACTGCATAATTTTGTAAAAAAAAAAAAAAATAAATAATAAACAACAGAAGATGATTATGAGCAGAAGATAAAATAACATTGACCAAATGTTACTTGATGAATAATAAATGCATAGGTTCCATTCGTGATATTGATAAAAGTGGAACCTTGCATAGATTCAAACAAATAGTAAAATGTATTCGTTTTTCCGACTTCATGTGGGCAAGATTGATATCACTTGCAATAAAAATGAAGTAAGTGTGTGGATACACAGCTCTGTTTAAGAGAACGCCTTTAAAGAATGGAGCAGGATTTTTATGTTCTCAAGCCAGCTCTCATTTACTATACAGAGTACTGGTATTCACCCCTACTACAAAATCTTAAGTCACCTAAGATTTTTTTCTTTGTTTATCATTTATTTGAACTGTAGGAGAAATGTGCAACAATATATTCAAGAAGTGGTGTATATCAGATATGGATATCTAAAAATTCCAAGGAACTTTGAATTTTGAATGAAACAATTTTTTTCCACAACCAACTGCATTAAAACTAACGACTTTTCAACTTTACAGACAACCATTCCTCACGATAAATTCAAGTCTAGGCTTTTTCACAAATAGAAATCGTAAATTAACTCACTTTGTCAATGGTCTTTTGCAAAATTATTTTGTTTGAAAACATTCTGATTGTACACACGAATACCCTAAAGTTGACATTAAAAAGATGCTTGAGTTTCTGATTGACATTATCATTGTGGAATTCAGATGTGTAACTTTTGTACCCCGTTTTTAGCAGACCTATTTTTGCATTCATATAAATCAGAATTTGCACAAAACTTAGGTGCACTTTTTACAGCTAAAAATTAAGATTAATAAATAAATATAAACAAGATGTGTTTGTGAAACACTGATGCCCTCGTATGGCAAAAAAGCAAGGATAAAACTTTAAATTTCTTAAACGCAGATCTAATATATTGGTGCCCAAAGTAGGGTATTCTCACTGGAAATACAATTGTGAAATATGAAAGTAGGCCAAGGTTAAAGTTTTTTTTTTCATAACCATGAAAATCTCCAAGGTCAAGGTCAAAAAGTCAAGATATTGGTATCTAATGAAAGGTCTTGCCACAAAGAATAAATATGTGAAGTATGGAAGCCCTAGCCTTAACTCTTCAAAAGTTATAACGAGGGTTATAGATTTTAAAAAGTACGCCAAACTCCAAGGTCAAGGGGTCAAAATTCTTGATATCAAATGAAAGGTCTTGAAGTAATGATAAGTATGAAAAGTTCGAAAGTACTGGTCCTAACCCTTTTAAAGTTATGGTCAAGCCTTTGCTTTTTAAAAGTACGTGGGTCAAACTTCAAGGTCAAAGGGTCAGTCAGAGATCTTGGTATCCAATAAAGGGTCTTCTTTTCACAAGAATTACACCCGTGAAGTATGAAAGCACTAGCCCTTAGCGTTTAAAGTTATGGCCAAGGTTAAAGTTTGTTCATGAGTACGGAAATCTCTAAGGTACAAAGATCAAAGTTGTTGGTATCAAAAGAAAAGTCTTGCCACAGAGAGTACACATATAAAGTATAAAAACCTGGTATTTACTGTTTAAAATAAATGGCCATGTAATAGTTTAGAATTTTTGTGTAATATGGATTAAACTCCAAGGTCAAGGTCAAAAGGTCAAATTTGGTGGTTCCAAAAAAGGTCTCGTCACAAGGAATACATGTAAAATATGAAATTCATACCTCCACTGAATAAAAAGTTATGGGCAAGGTTAAAATTTTTGCAGACAAACAGACAGACTGAGAGATAGATAGCTAGGCAGTCAGACAGACACGACAAAAACTATATACCTCCGAAACTTCGTTTACGGGGGCAAAAGATAGAACGTCCATGGTCGCCGATTAAAGGTGTGGCCGATTTTTGATGCTCTGTTTTCCGTATTTATCCCCCTAGACAATTAAAAGCGTTAATGGACGTTGTCCGTTGACGTACTGTTCTTGACATTACTACTGAAACTGGAATATCATATGTTAAAATGGGGAGTATTTGAAATATCAGTGAAAAATGAAGATAAATTCGTGCGAGACGATACCTAGGCCTTTCTTGAGAAAAAAAAATGGAGAAAAAGGCAACATTTTGTAGAAACACATATTCGAATTGGACATTAGGGTGAGATGCTTCTGAAACGTGACGTGACATATCAAACTTGACGTAACGTCAGAGTTTTCCCCGGGTTTCACAACAATCCATTTTCAGAAAACTCGTGTGACCTTATTGGTAATTGCAAAGAGGTGAAATTTTCCAATATTGTTGCAGTACGGCTTTATATGATAAATATGCCTGTTGTTGGCTTTCATTAAATCACGATGAAATTTTAAAAAGAAATTTAAGGAACTTTTGGATCAACCCTCGTAAATCTAGTATTTTCAAATATAATTTGCCACGCAACATTGATATTTTTTGGTCTCTCCACAAATTTCAATCGAACAGATTGACTGTTATATTTAAACACTACTTTCTTTCTTTTGAATAACTGCATCCATATGCAAAAAAAATCAGCGTAAAAGATAATTCTTTCTTTCAAATACAAAAAATAATATCTTAAATATGAGTTTTTCGGCGATTTTTGTAAATTCCACAGTTTTCACTAACGCTGTTCTTGTTCTTCTTCTTCTTCTTCTTTACATAAATCATTTATAAACAGCTTCTGCTCAATGTAGTGACCATGATAACTTTCAAAGTGAATTTCTTTGCAAGGACAATAGGAAAATTCATGAGGTTTTTGTTTATAGGACCTTTTCATAGAACTTTTCAACTGTGGAAAAAATTAAATGCCTCAACATTTATAATAATTACATTACAACTACATTACTAACATAACTTATTGAATAACTTTATATTTACATCCGTTGAATACTTTCTCCTTTATTTCTTAAGAAAACTCATTGCGTTAATCACTGCATGAACTACAGTCGGCAAGTCGCCTGTACAGATTCCTTATTCAGTGGCTGTTCCATCAAGGAATCATATAAAGAAGTTCGCATCATTTATACAATAATTAATCTTTTTAATCCTTAATCCTGCTTTAAATGATTATTTTAACAGATATAAATATAAACAATAAAATGTCTTTCTTTGTTATAACTAGAATAAACTGTCGCAGCTACGAGCGGTGATCAAAAAGTTCGCGAAATATCTCTATATCTACAAAACCACGATTGAGACTAGAAAAAAAATTTGGTACACACATAGCTATACACAAGTTCTATAAATAGCATATACTGAATAAAGCTTTGCGTCTTGTTTGTGACGTCACAATGTAAAAATGACGTCACTATGTAGGTCACTTATGACGAAAATTGGCTGTCTCAGACGTACTCTTTTAAAAAACGACTGTAAAATTTATTGTATATCTTAAAAATCCCTTGAAAGTAACGTATAATAATTTGTACACAGTTTATTAAGACAAATAACTTCCTATAAATTCAATCAATGATTGGATTGGTCGTTTTAGTAAAGGAAGGCAGATGGATAAAAATTATACTTGTTATATTGCCCAGTGAAAACAAGTTTAAAAGGAGGTGTGTTTTTAATTAAGCAATTTGGTATCAAAGAGGCCCAATTTACAATTTGAAAAATAGCTGAATATTTTAACAATAATATAATTATTAGATACCTAAGATATCGTTTACTTTAGATTTAAAACATATTAGACTTGATAAGAAGAAGGCACACATTCTCTAATCCACCTTGAATAAACGTCTCTTCCGAGAGAAAGGATTTGGATTTTGATGGTTGCCATGCTTATTTTTGGAAAGGATATTCTTATCCACCCATTCTGTTACCGAGATTTGACCATTTCTGACAAATAAACTATTCTTGTTATAAAGATTATCTTACCTGGAGAGAAATATAAAACTCAGAAAAATCTTTCAGCTTTTGTGACAGAACGCTACGGAGGGGGTCACGTGACCGCCTATATCAAGTGATTCGCGCATGCGCAGAACTGCATTAAAATCGGAGAGGATTAATATAAAATATAATCAACACTGAAACCAAATATTATTTCTGTTATGGAAGTTATTCAATTAGTTCGCGAACTTTTTGATCACCCCTCGTATTGCAGAAAAAATTTACATAACCCGTTTACGCGTGTTATGTATTTTTTCTGCAACAGCTGCTTCCGTTAATTCCAGTAATAACAAACAAAGAAAGCATTTTATTGTTAAAGTGGAATTATATTCCAATGTACATGTTGCATGCTTCCTTCGTGGAAAAAAATAATTTACAGTTATTCCACTTCAATGAAATAATATGTACAGTAAATATTTTAAAATACGAAATCTCTAAAACGTTTATGACCGCCAATCAGCAGTCAACTGAATACTCGAAAACGATTGACATTTTCCTTCTTATTTTGAAAGGGTTAAAGTTCATTGATACTCTTATAAGAGAGATAACTCTTAATGATATAAGAGTCTATTATTCCTTTATAGATTTGCCAAGTTGAAGTGTCTTTTTTGTCCAAATTTGCCCCGCAGGCTATCCTATAATTGTTTGTATTTTACTTAACAAATACATTTCTTCTGGAAAATCATTGAGGTTCAAGCTACAAGGCATCTGAATACAATGCATGAAGCCTGTCAAAGATGGAAAAGCTAAGATTCAAGTTCGAATGCCTTCTTAAATGCTGAAAAGCC